CTGCCTCTGCCTCCCGAGCGCTGCCGGGCTACAACCCATCATATTTACATGCCACTTTTTGTTTGTTCACCTCCTGGTGGATGCTTAGGTTTTGAACTCTTGGTCACTAGGAACAGAGACGCCCAGATCTGAGTGAGATCTTGCTCTTGTTTTGGTATATATTCTGAAGTGGAATTGCAGGATCAGAGGCGAGTGCTCTTCAGTTTTGGTTTCCGTAGCAATTTTACATATCTATTTGTGATATAGAAATGACTAAATGTTCTCATATCGTCAACATTTGTTATTTTGATTTTTATTGATACCAGTCATCCTATTGGGTTTGATTGTTTTGCATCTCTAATTATAAGTAATTGTTCAGCATCTTGTATTTAGTAACCATTTGTCTGTCTTCTCTAGAGAAACATCCAGTCAAGCCCTTTGTTAATTTTTACATTTTATTGTGTATTCTGGACATTAGGCCTTATGCAGATGTATGGCTTGCAAATATTTTTTCCCATTCAGCAGACTGCCTTTTCACCTTTAGTTGTATCCTGTGTGTCCTTTGTTTGATACAGTCCAGTTTACTTTTCCTTTGTTGCCTGTGCTTCTCTGCCAAAATCCAGTGTCATTAAGATTTTTAGTTTCAGTCTTTTTGCTCAAGTCTTTATTCCATTTCACACACACACACACACACACACACACACACACACACACACGCTTCTGGAGCACTTGCTGTTTTTGCAGAGGCTCCAGATCTTACAGCCAGCTGTGACTCCAGTTCCAGGGGATCTGGCACCTTCTTCTGTATGAGGTGCACAGGATACATGCAGGCAAAACATTCATATACATAAATAAAACTTTAAAAAATACAAGTAAATGTCATGGACCTCAGAAAGAAACCCTCACATATATGAGCAAATGATTCTTTTTAACATAGGTGTTAAACGATCAAGAAAGAACAGTCTCTTGAAAAATAGTGCTAGGAAACTCTGCAACCTGCCCCCGTGCATGCGTGTGTGTGTTCGTGTGTGTGTGTGTACACATACATGCACATCAATGGTACACTGGTTTGTTTGTTTGGGTTTTTTTTTTTTTTGGTTTTTCAAGACAGGGTTTCTCTGTAGCTTTGGTGCCTGTCCTGGAACTAGCTCTTGTAGACCAGGCTGGCCTCGAACTCACAGAGATTCGCCTGCCTCTGCCTCCCGAGTGCTGGGATTAAAGGCGTGCGCCACCACCGCCCGGCAATGGTACACTGTTCTAATTATTCTTAAAATATTATGATTTGATGTCAGGAAGCATTATTTTTGTATGCATTCATTCACTCATTCATTTTGATTCTTTCATAAGTGGAATTGTTTTTTTAGGTTTTTTTTCTGAGCTGTTAACTTTAGTATGTAGAAGCAACCATTTTTCTGTTGCTTTTGTAACCTGCAGCTTTGCTGAATCCATTTCTTGGTTATCATGATTTTCTTATAATCTTTAGGATTTCCATATCTGAGATCTTGTCATCTATGAGGAATCTTCTTCCTCTCCAGTGTGGATGTCAATTGTTCTGTCCCAATTGTGGGGCTACAAGTCCCAGTGCTGTGTGCAACAGAGGTGACAAAAGCAAGAGCCTTTGGTTGCTGAGCAACAGCGAGGCTTCCAGTCCACTGTTTGTGAGCTGTGGGCTTTTCACATATGGACTTTCATATCTGGGGTAGTTTTCTTATATTTAATACTTTATTTTTCTCATGAAAAAATATTGACTCTTGTCAATAATCATGTGTTTCTCCTTTATTCTGTGAATACGGAATAGTAGCATATTGACGTTGAGTTTTATGTTGAACCACCCTGTTCTGGCAGTAGTTTCCCGTGGCCATCATCTGTAAACCCTTAATGTACTGTTGAGTTTGTTTTGCATCAGATTTCATCAGTGAAACGGATCTGAGGTTTTCTTGCAATGCCTTCAGTCTGACTTTGGTTATGAGTAACGTTTCCCTGAGAATGGCTTTAGATGTTGTTGTTTGGATATAGCTTGATTTTGTTCTTCAGTGGCTTAAATATTATTGCTAGAAGATGGGTCCCAATCTGGGTGGTGTTAGGAGGTGTTATGGAACATTTAAGAGGTGTGACCTAGGAGGTCCTTAGGTCATTTGGGGATATGTCCTCAGAAAGGACTAAGGCCATAGTTTTTATCTGCTTTTCTCTTGAACACATCCCTGCCTCTGCTGTCCTGTATGCTATGAGGCCCTCATCAGAGCCAAGCTATTGCTGGATCCACGCCCTGGAATCTGCAGAACTGTGAGCCTAATAAACCACTTTGTGGGCAGGAGAGATGACCAGCAGTTTAGAGCACTTGCCCTTGCACAGGACCCAGGTTTGTTTTCCAGCATCCATATGATGGCTCACAACTGTCCATAGCTCCAGTTCCAGGGGATATGACACCCTGTCCTGGCCTCCACATTCATACAATCCTTTTTATTTCTGTAAAGTCAGCTGCAGTGGCCCCTCTGTGGTTTCTGGTTTTACTCACGTCAGTTTTACGGGGTTTTTTTTTGCCAGTGTTCCTAAAGGTTTCTTGATAGTCATGGAGCAAACTTTTTAAATATGTTTGTCTGTTCTATTAATTCACTTACATGTGCTCTCAAATTTATCATTTCCATTTCTGCCAGCTTCAGTTTGTTTCTTTCCCTACTATGAAAAGTTAGGTTGATTTGAGATCATTCTTCAATCTTCAAGCTTTGACCATCCTGCATATGAATGTCATAGTCCCACCTGTGTATGTTGGTGCTTGAAGAGATTTTCTAATATTCTTTAAAAATTGAGTAGTTTGAATTTATTACATTTTGGTTCTTAAAAAGTTATTTATGTATTTTGTGTGTGGGTCCTCTGTCTGCCTATACACTTGCAGGCCAGAAGAGGGCATCAGATCCCATTATAGATGGCTTTGAGCTACCATTAGTTGCCAGGAATCGAACTCAGTACCTCGAGAAGAGCAGCCAGTGCTTTTAACCACTGAGCCATCTCTTTAGCCCATATATTTTGGTTCTTGAATGTCCCTGAAAGCTTGTGTTGAAGGCTTGTTTGGTCCTGTGTCTGTACAACTGGGAGGTGGTAAAACCTTTAGGAGATGGTCCCTGGCAGAAGGTCATTGGGGTGCACTTGTGATGGGAATACTGGGAACTGAGCCCTTTCAAGTCCAGTGTTGCCCTCTGCTGTTTACCAACGCCCAGGGCACCTGGGCTAGCCAATGTGGAAAGTGCTGGAGCTGAGCAGAGCAAGCCCCTCAAGTTGTTGTGGGCATTTGTTCCAGGGCAGGAAGCTGACTGTGTTTGTGCTTAGTTCATACAGATTTAATTTCTAGCTTCAGCCACTGTTACAGACACTTTATGTTAAAGACACTTTATGATTTTAGTCTTCTTGAACTTTTTAAGATTTATGGTTCACCATGATTTGTTCTGGAAAATGACCTGGCTGCATTTGAGAAAACTGTATTTATTCCTCTGTTGTTGGGAGTTGTATCTCAGTTCTGGCTCATCTGTCCCCCATTTTCTTATTGACCTGTTTAGTGACTATACATGAATGAAAGTAGGATACTGAGGTGTCTGCTCTTACTGTAGTGACCTCTCCCTTGCAATCTGTTCATGCTTGCTTCTTAGGTTTAGGCATGCTTATATTTGATGCACCTGTCACAACTTAGAGAATGGACCCTTTTGTCAGGATGTAATGTTCATGCCTCTTCATAATTCTGACTGGGGAACGGCTCTACAGACATCAGACAAAAATAGGCTAATTTCTTTTGGCTACTATTTCTTTGGATTATCTTCTTCCATCCATGGTACATGTCTTTAGAGCTAGTCAGTTACCTGCAGTCGGGTGCTGTTCTATTTTAATCCATCTTTTCCAACGTGTGCGTTTTCAGTTGTCTATAGTTAATTACGGATAAGGACAGGCTTCTTACCTACATTTCGCTGTTTACTGTATGTCTTGTTTTGGTCTCGTATTCTTTACTTAGTTTTTCTGTTTGCCTCTCATTTGTTCTATAGCAGTTTTGTCATTGGTAATGTTTTATGATCTAGCTGTAAAGTTAAAGGAATCTATTTTAAGCGGTAAATTAACCTCATCATTTGCAAACTACAGTCTTACAGTTCTGCTTCCCTGTTAATGTCACCCTTCACTCAGCTGTATAGTAGACTTGTTCACCTGTGGAGTTTCTACCTGCTTGAGTGTGGCTTTTGCTTCATGGGTAACTTTCTTGCTGCCTCCTTGGTTTCTAGAGTTCACAAAGTGACTGTTTCAGTGCTAGAATGTGGGCCTGGAGCTTCCTCACTGGCCATATTGATAACATCACTCTTAGACTAGAATGTGGGCCTGGAGCTTCCTCACTGGCCATATTGATAACATCACTCTTAGACTTTTTCTCTTTACAGCTATTTATACTCACCATGCTGTTTTCTAGTATCCCTTGTTTTCTCCTTTTAAACAAATGTATTTGTAGAATCCTAGCTCCTTCTGTCATCGTACTCCTTACTGCAAGTATAGATCTTCCGGGACCTTGTAACTTCTATTGGCCTATTTTACTAAGATTATGGGTTTGCTGCCCTTGCCATTGCTGTAGATGAGTTCTCTGCTTAGCTCTTTAGAATAATCTTTCACAGGCTCCTGGAACTCTCACCCTGGATGTGATACTTGTCTGCCAGTGGTTTAGTGAAAATGCATGTGCAGACTTTGAGGCTCTTTCTTGGATTTCCCATCTGAAGTCGGTAGTATCTTGTCAATCCCGATCTGTCTTCAGCCCCACAGGACTCCACTGTAAACCGCACACTGGAAAGTCCTGTCCAAGAGCTAGTTTAATATGAAGCTCCTACCTCAGAGGGCCACACCATATTCAGATTCTGCTACTAAAAGTTCTGCAAGTTTACATTCCTTAGAATTCAAAGTCATTTTTTAAAAGAAATTTTGAAAAAAAGTTTAAGAAGGTAGCTGTGGTTATTTCGTAAAGAACAATCTTATATTTCAACTAAAAATTTCTTTTGTAGGATATTGCAAATGAGGACCACCAAAAAATTGAAGTGTTAAAATCAGAAAACAAGAAGCTAGAAAGACAAAAAGGAGAATTATTGATAGGGTTCAAGAAACAATTGAAATTAATTGACATTTTGAAAAGGCAGAAGGTAAGTCTAACAGCAGAAGCTACGTAGATATGCTGCAGACCTTCCTGCTATAAAGTTTAGGGTTGCTTTGTTTAGAATATTGTACATAAAACTGTACCTAAAGATGCGCTGTATACATGTAAAGTCATGTGTGTAATACACTATATACATGTAAAGTCACATGTGTGTAATACACTATATACATGTAAAGTCACATGTATGTAATATACTATATACATGTAAAGTCACATGTATGTAATACACTATATGCATGTAAAGTCACATATGATACACTGTATACAGTAAAGTCACATGTGTGTGATACACTATATACATGTAAAGTCATGTGTGTAATACACTATATACATGTAAAGTCACATGTATGTAATATACTATATGCATGTAAAGTCACATGTATGTAATACACTATATGCATGTAAAGTCACATATGATACACTGTATACAGTAAAGTCACATATGTGTGATATACTGTATACACGTAAAGCCACATATGTGTAATATACTGTATACATGTAAAGTCATATATGTATAATATACTGTATACATGTAAAGCCACATATGTATAATATACTGTATACATGTAAAGTCACATATGTGTAATATACTGTATACATGTAAAGTCACATATGTGTAATATACTGTATACATGTAAAGCCACATATGTGTAATATACTGTATACATGTAAAGTCACATATGTGTAATATACTGTATACATGTAAAGTCACATATGTATAATATACTGTATACATGTAAAGTCACATATGTGTAATATACTGTATACATGTAAAGCCACATATGTATAATATACTGTATACATGTAAAGTCACATATGTGTAATATACTGTATACATGTAAAGTCACATATGTGTAATATACTGTATACATGTAAAGTCATATATGTATAATATACTGTATACATGTAAAGCCACATATGTGTAATATATACTGTATACATGTAAAGTCACATATGTGTAATATACTGTATACATGTAAAGCCACATATGTGTAATATATACTGTATACATGTAAAGTCACATATGTGTAATATACTGTATACATGTAAAGTCACATATGTGTAATATACTGTATACATGTAAAGTCACATGTGTGTAATATACTGTATACATGTAAAGTCGCATATGTGTAATATACTGTATACACGTAGAGTCACATATGTGTAATATACTGAGCTTCACTGGTATATTTATACGGTTCTTCCCAACTTCAGAAAGTATCATACAGGAAAATGACTCGTTTTAGTGGATTATTTCCCTCTTCAAACTTTGAACAGTAATTCCAAAGCACACTGCACTGTTTTTGAAATGTGACAAAAGACAACTCACACAGTTCTCACTTTATTTCAAAGACCAGGTAAAATAATAGTGAATTATTCCTTTAACAGTAGTTTGGTCTTGAGTGTACTGCCCGTTTAAAATGTTACACTTGGCATTAGGTGTGGTGGCGCATGCCTTTAATCCCAGCAGAGTTTGAGGCCAGCCTGGTTTCCAGAGTGAGTTCCAGGACAGCCAGAGAGCTGTTACACAGAGAAACCCTGTCTTGAAAAACCAAACCAAACCAAAACAAACAAAAATACTTGCATAATTAGAGTATGTGTCCAACAGTGGGGCTTGTTTAGTGATAGCATATTATCACAAACTTACAAGTTTCCTGTTGTGTGGCTTTCTCTGAATCAGACATGGATTTTTTTTAAACAGATGCACATTGAAGCTGCCAAGATGCTGTCTTTCAGCGAGGAAGAGTTTATGAAGGCTCTCGAGTGGGGCAGTTCATGAGTGAGAGACTTCAACGTGACGCTTGTTTGTGAGCGTTTATCCAACATCGAATTGTAGTGCTTCTTTGTTGTTCATAAATAATGAGATGTTTGTGAAATAAAAAGCTCAGGGATCAGCCTGCTGAAATAAACAGTGTTTGGGAGAACATTCTAAGGCAAGGCCAGACTACACTACTGGCCTTACTCCCTTTTTCTTTGATAGTTGTACCATAAAGAAGCAAGACTGTGACTTTTAATTCTTTTTTTTATACCTCATTAGATGCGGCATAGGGCAGAATAAGACTCCAGAGATACTCTACCTCAGCTAGGTGGTTACCTGTTACCCAAGGCTGCTGTATTCGAACAGCAGTGATGCAGGTGGGACCCTGTGTTCAGTAGTTTAGAGACAGTGTGGAAAGAGCGCCGAGTAACACCTAGGTAAAAGTGACAGCTCCTGGTTACAGCAAAGAAAACTTTGTTGACGAGGGCCGGACAGTTTACCCTTCCTCTAGCACAGCACAGAGATACACAGAGAGACAGCTAGGGAAAAGAAACTTCATCGGTCTCCAGCACTGGGCCCATGACAGTAAAACTCAGCAGACTCTTGGCCCTAGACCAGGAAACATGCCTGCCCTGATGCTAAAATGGAACCTATGGTTCCTGCAAGATAGACCAAAGTTCCAACCCATATCCGGTCTGGCCGACTGCAGCAGCCCTGCGTTGTGTATGCACTTAGGACCCTCCATAGCTGGCTGGCCTCAGCGGTGTACCCCGCCAGCTGCCAACCCCATCCCAGGTGCTGTGGTGGCATAGATGGCTGTGGTGTTGTCCACACTGAACTAGCGTGCTCACCTTGGGCTTGAGGCACCCTGTAGTGCTGCAGGGGCTGCAATGAACTGAGATCAAGACAAGAGCATTTGGACACTCTAGGCCAAAGCCAGGCTGCAAAGTCTGAAGGAAGTGCCTGCTTTCCCAGTGCATGGGTGGTGATGTCTGCCGTGAGGATTAAAATGGGGGGAGACATCACCAAATAAACTAAGGTGCCTGAGACTGACCCCAAGGTGATGGACATAGACAAACTAAAAGAGATTTGTCTTTTTATTTAAAAATGAAAATTCAGTGAACAAAATGAAAATGCAGTAGAGTATCAAGTGTCAGCAGAAGGATCTGTCACCCTAGAGATGGGCAATACAGTCAGGAGAGGAAGGAGAAGTCCAGCTCACAAGTAAACCCAGGAGAAGCTGGCTCATAAAGGGGTAGGAGAAAAAGGGGAAGCGATGAAAGAAACAACACCTTCTCAATTCGAACATAAAATGTTCAGGACAGGAAGATCAGAGGCCTCAAATGATTTAATCCAAGTAAGACCAACCCATGGCATAGTATCAGCCTGTCAAAGACCGACAGCACATCCTAAAAGGTTCCCATTTAAAGGAGTTGGACACCAGGCAGCTCATGTCCCTCAGAAACCTAGAAGGCAGTAAGAGGATGGAGTGATAAATTCAAAGCTCTGAATGACAAAACTACAAAACCTGCCAAGAATAGTGAACCCAGCTCAGTCGTCCTCCAGAGATGGACAGGTAATGTTTTCTCAAACCAGCCCGTGAGTTCATCACCTCAGCTGAAAGAAGGGGATGCTGACGGTAGGCATGGATGAAGTTCAGTTCAGTCAAACTGAGAGCATGCTAATGCTGATGGAGCCATGAAAATCACTCCCATCTTTATAAGGTGGAAGTGTTTTTTTAAAAAGTGGCAACAATCTGGTCAAGGGTCTACCATTTGAAAGATGTAACTGTGAACTGCACACAAAACAGAGTGCAGAAGAAATATATGCTGCTTTCTTGTAATCAAAGTTACCAACATAAAACAACAAGAACTTGTACGAGATCCACGGGTAAAAAGCAATGGTTAAACATATTAGAGAAAAGCTCTAAACTGCGAAGAAAGTAAGAAGAAAAGATTCAGCAAAGCAGTGACTCTCGGTACTGTATGAGTGGATTAAGTTCTCCAATTAGAGAACCCGATAGAGGTAGGATTAGTCAGGGTCTCTATTGCTTTGACAAAACACCATGGCCAAAAAGCAAGTTAGGGAGGAAAAGGTTTATTCGGCTTACACTTCCACAGTGTAGTTCATCACTGAAGAAGTCAGGGCAGGAACTCAAATAGGGCAGGACCCTGGCGGCAGGAGCTGAGGCCATGGGGGGGGGGGGGGCTGCTTATTGGAGTGTTCAGTCTGTTTTCTTATAGAACTCAAGACCACCAGCCCAGGAATGGCATCACCCACCATGGGCTGGACCCTCCTCCATCAATCACTAAGAAACTGCCCTACAGCTGGGGCTAATGGAGACATTCTCTCAACTGAGGGTCCTTCCTCTCTGATGACACACAGCCAGCTGCTCCACAGAGGGACTAAACAAATTCATGATGCCTCTAAAAGACTCATTTAACAGAACAGACACTGGATGTGGAGGGATGGCAAACATATAGTCTATGAAAATGGGAACTGCCAGGAGAATAGCACACACCTTTAATCCCAGCACTCGGTAGGTAGAGGCAGATGGATCTCAAGAGTTCGAAGCCAGCCTGGTCAACTAAGTGAGTTCAAGGACAGCTAGGGCTACTCAGAGAAACCCTGTCTCAAAAAAAAAAAAAAAGGAACCAAGAGAGAATGGGTACTTAAAATAGATATTATGTCAAAAGCTATAAAAAGAGGGAAGAAAACCTTACATAACGGTAAAAGGATTAAGTCATCAACAGTAATGGTGGTGAGCATGTATCTACCAACAACAAAACTAAAATACATAGACATCTGCAAAAAGGAAAGACATACTGCAATATTAGAATGGTAGAAGACAGCTATTACCCCATATCCAACAATAGACCAGACCGAAAAATCAAAAGAAAAACTGAACTTAGCTGTAGCCCAGTTAAAGAGTGTCTACCAGGATACACAAAGCTCCAGCACCTCATAACCTAGTTTGGTGGCCCACACCCATGATCCCATCAGCAAGAAGCAGACACAAGAGGGTAAGAAGTTCAGATCATCCTCAGGCAAATAGCAAGTTCAAGGCCAGCCTGGGATACACAATACTTTGTGTCCAAAAACCACAAAGAAACACAGTGAACTTAATTTATACTTTAGACTAAATGAGCCTAAAAAGACACAAAACACTCTCTCCAACGGCATAATACATACTTTCTCCAGTCTATAGAACATTCTCCAGAACAGACCACTTGTCTTAACAAATTTAAGAAGACATATTGAATCTTTCTGGACTTCGATGGTATAAAATATAGACCAACAAGAGGAACTTAAAAACTTTACAAACACATGCAAATTATGCCACACGACCCTAAATAACCAGTGGGCTCAAGAGATAAAGCAAATTTAAAACTTTTTATACAAAATGGGAATGCAACAAATGCCTATAGAAGAAGAAAGTGTCATCTTAGCACTGCAGAAATGCCAAGTAATGTCCTGAAGCCAAATCCAGTCTGGTCGGTGCAAGAAAAACAGGAAAGACCAAAGAAGAAATAAATTACAAAAATAATAGAGGTCATGTAGCCCTAGCCTGGGTCTGGAGAATCTAGTTGTTTTGTCACTTGTTTGACACTATAGGTGTAAAATACCAAATCTGACTTCACGTGACAGGTTGCATGCAAAACACTGGTTAACCAAAAGTCATGTGTAAGATCACCTCCAGGCTACGAGTATAAGATATATTATTAGACATAAACAAAGGCCAGTGGAATAGTTCAGTAGAAAGGGCACCTGCCCCAAACCTGCCACCTTGATTCAGTGGGACCTGATCCCTGGTGGAAAGAGAACCAACTCCTGCAAGCTGTCCTCTGACTCCCAAATACAACGATAACAAGCACAGGTCACACCCACACTCACAAATAACACAAAGATTAATAATTAAAGACTTTAATTTCTAAAATAAATAAAAGGATTAATGCTAGCTGTGCATGGTGGTGCATGCCTGAAACTCTGGCGTCCAGGAGGCTGAGGAATGAGGGTCAGCAGTGTGCTGCTAAACAGAGCTTGATGCCAATGTGTGGGATGTGAGTTACTGTCTCAGAGTTAGGTCCCTTTCTCAAGACATCATGTGTATTTTAAACATTCCAAAATTAAGGGTGGGAGGAGGGGGAGAAGGGTGGGAGGAGGGGGAGAAGGGTGGGAGGAGGGGGAGAAGGGTGGGAGGAGGGGAAGGGAAATGGGAGGCTGGGAGGAGGTGGAAACTTGTTTTTTGTTTATGTTTTTTTTTCTTCTTTTCGCAATAAAAAAAAAACATTCCAAAATCAAAAATCAACAGCTACAACAAAATATCCCAACTTCTATGCCAAGCAATTGCAGATACAGCATATACTCAACCCACGTGAAAGAGCTGGCTGTCGAAAGTAACTTACTTTTAGCCAACAAGGAGAAAATGCCTAATTAGAGATGAAGAAGGGACATGTCCATTGTACCATATACAAAGGATCATAAGAGTGTTATAAATTTAAAATATCTATGAATAATTGGGGTTACACAGAATAAATTAATTTCTGGAGATGTACAACCTACCAAGAATTAACTGTGAAGAGACAGAAAATCTAACAGACCCATGGTGAGCAAGGAGGTCAAGGAGCTCAAACAGATAACAGAAAGTCCCATTGGAAGCCGGAGAGGAGCTCAGTGGTCAAGTGTTCCTGCTACTGCAGAGGACCCAAGTTCAGTTCCCAGCACCACAGGGCAGCTCACAACTACCTATGTAACGCCAATTCAAGGGACAAGTAAACAAAATCAAAGCAACAACTTCCCACAGTCCAGTATCCCGATCAACTCAGATGCAGAAATCCTCATCCTGACCCCAGCAGGCAACTCCAACAGTGCATAGGAAGCTCGCTCTCCATGACGAAGTGGGCTCATCCTAGATGAGTCAGCGTTCAATCAATAAGCATGTCATGTTGACAGAACAAGACTGAACAACATAACAAAAACTGCCAACAAAGTAGGCTACAGAAGGCATGTTCTTCAACATACAACAGACACACAGCTAACAACACACCGAACAGGAAAAGCTGACGCTTATCCTCACATGACGTTTGTGTATCTACTAAAGTTCACACTTGAGAACTGTGCAACAAAGAAAAGAAACACAAAAATTTTGCATGTTTTAAGGTTGCTATTTGTGTTGGGCTACATTCATACTTATCCTGACCACATGCCAGGTTTGCCATACCTAGAAGACCTAAAATCAGACAGTTAGGAGCACTGGCTGCTTGCTCTTGCAGAGGACTCAGGTTTGGTTTCCAACACCCATATAGTGGCTCACAACCATAACAATGTAACTCCAGTGGATATGATGCCCATTTCTGGCCTTCTTGAGCACTGCATGCATGTAGTACACATACATGCAGGCAAACACATATAAAATGCTTTTATTAAATCATAGCAGGAGCGCCAACGAAAAAACTGGCAAGAGAAAGAAAAAACTGCTTCTGCTTGGCCTCGGTGGTTCTATGGGATTCTGTGACATGACGCCGTCGTAGAGTGCACAATGAATAAAGTGACTAATCCTTCAGTTAAACTACTGATGTGTTTAATTTTTGTCTAACTGTTTATAAATGGAGAAAGAGGAGGATGTTTTAGAACATGCAGACACTGGAGACCCACTGTCACCAACTGGAAGAGAGCAGTTACACTGACATCTAGTGGTAGTATCTGAGAAATCCAGGTTTCATCCGTCCTGCAGTGCTGATCACTTCTCTTCACTGGCTTCCCCCCTTTTCTGATACGCTTTCTTAAACTCTTCACCGAGCATGTCAACGTCGTCCTCTCTTTTAAACACTCCCTACAAAAAAAAAAGCATTTTGTTGGTTACTTTTGAATGTGAGAGCATTTCACTGAATGCTCTTAGGGCTAACTTGCGGGGACACAAAGCTAAAAAAGTTATCCAAGATAATGAAATCCATCCGACAGGTTAATGAAACTTAATTAAAAAATATTAGTACTTTCCAAAGAATATGTCTTCAAGTATATCCTGACTATTCTTGAGCTGCCCCAATTTCCTGATTTGTCACCTTCAGAGTGGAAAGGGCATACAGGCACAGACCTAGAACATCTAGCTGCAACCATGGCTGCCTACATTGCCTGGAAGGAACGGAGCTTTGTGCCTACTGTACTCTACCCTTGTCTAAATGGGCTGTCATAGTGTATGGGGTGGGGTGGTAAGAGTGAGAAGGCTGGCTTGGGCTACATTACTGCATGGTTACATTCTCATGCCTCAGTTCGAAGCTCATTTTGGGACATTGAGTTTAACTCTAATAGGTCCTGTCTGCCCTACAGACTATTTTCTCACTACAATGTTGAAATTCAAAAGTCTTCTTAGCATTCATAGTCTGTTTTTTAAACAGAGCAGTCATAGTGGGTTTTAGCATCCGTCTATCATTCTGCATTAAATCTGCCTAACTAATTAGACTCTAAGACCCTGTGGCCAGGAACTTTTAATAACTTTTCTTCTCCTTTCATTGGTTAGGGACTGAACACAAAACACACACTTGATTCTGCAGTCAATAAAGGCCTCAAACAATATGACTTGTGTATTCGAAGGACTATGGCTTTATGAATCCCCGTGTTTATATGAACTAGGAAGCGCGTTATTAGCAGTCATTATGTGTCTCGGATACACATGAAAATCCACTGTTTACAGCATGGTCTCATGTCAAGCATGTGTGTCTCCAATGACAAGGCTTCCATGTTTATCATCGTCTTCAATGTTGGCCTTATATAGCTGCTCTAGGATAATTTGTTTTTAGATTTCCCATTTTTAACAAGGAGAAGAAAGAACCTCAAAAATATTAGCTCAGGGACTGGGGATGTGGCTCACTGCATAAAGCACTTGCCCAGTGTGTACAAGGCTCTGGGTTAGATCCCTAGCACCAAATAAACTTGGCAAAGTTACCACAGTCCTAGCCCTCAGAAAGTAGAAGCAGGGAGGACCAAAAGTTCAAGGTCATCCTCAGCTACAGAGCGAGTTCCAGGCCAGCCTGCACTAGACCTTGTCTCAAAAAGTAAGCAGGCAAGTAAATAATAATAAATAAAAAAAAGAAGTTCAATAACTCTGGCTCGAATAGCTACTTATGTTCCAAGACCAACTCTTCCTAGAGAGGTGTTTAGAAAGGACTACGGGGCCTGAAAGCACATGAAGATAGACCCTCCAACATCTAGAGTCGGGCCGTTGTTTCCTCCATCGTTACAAGTCGTGAAGATCACACAGTAAAGTAAGTTCTCACTCACTTTGGGGAGATAGCCTAGTAACTTTGCAGCATGTTCCTTGAGGAGTCTCAGCCTCTCTTCTTCAATAATCTCATTGATGCAGCCTTGCCGTCTCTGCTGTAGCTGAAATTCCTCCAGCTCGCGTTTCTGGAAATGAAGTAAAAGTGTCTTAACTGTCACAAAATACATTAATCTCTTAGGAAGTTTACAAATCAAACTGTTCTTGCAGAGAACTGCATGACAAGCTGATGGGTTCATTGTAAGTTTAGAAGACAATAGTGTATGACTTTTACATATACAAATAGACATACCTATACTTTTTAATAAAAAGATTAATTTTTAATTTTTAGTTTTTATTTATTGTATATCCTGGCCATAGTCCCCTCCCCCATTCTCATCCCCTAATCCACTCCTCCTCCTTTCTGCTTAGGAAAGGACAATGTACCTGTATTTTCATCATCGCTGTTTTCTTTAAACTTTCCAGAACAACTTATGGCCCACCCACATTTTTGGTTTCTTTATTTAGTAGTGCTGGTGTTTGGACCCTGGGCCCTGCACCTACTGGGCACACACTCTATTACTGAGCTACAATCCTAGCCCTTATGACAGGAAGTTTTAAAGAGGCAAGTGTGTATTTTTAGGAAAATTTTCAATCTCAAGAAAAAAATGTATTCAAAAGAGCAATTCCCTAATAAATTTAGCAAATATTTATGGAGTTCCCACCATATACCAGGTACCCGATACCCAAAACTGTTTACAGTATGTGAGCCAAAAAAAAAAAAAACATGAAACATCTGCATGAAACAGACCAGGCATGTCTGAAGTCCATTTTCCACATGTAGGTGTGGAGCACTGCAGAGGCCGGAGGCCAGGAGAGGCCAGCAGAGGCCAGCAGAGGCCAGCAGAGGCGCTCTAGTGCTTCCCTTGAGAATACCGAATTCGTTGACGGCCCTGAGCCATACAGTGCAGATGTGATGCTGTCTGAATAGTCTTAAGGTCCTTAGGGACACACGGAACTTTACCCAAATAAGACCACTGAACAAGGTCTGCAGCGGTGGGAACGAAACTTGGGGTTCCACACAGGCTACCTAAGAACGCTACCACTGAGCCAAAGCCCAGCCCCGCTTACGGCATTTTTATCAGATGAGGTAGCCTCTCTAACTTGGGTTTCCCTTCTTGTATCGTGCTCCCCACACTAAGTGTTCATCCCTGTGTCACAATTCTACAGTGAGTTAGCGCATGTGGGACAAGATCTGAAATGATTGCCAGTAAGAAATGCCTTGGGGAATGTTTAGGATTTTGTCTAAACCGCACAGATTCTTAGAGGTGGACAGGATGACAGACACCTGCTTAGGCTCTCTCTAAAATATAAATGGGCACTTTAGTGTTTTCAGGGCAATACAGCATCATGAACTGTTAAGACATCCACATCTGCAAACTGTTGTCATTTCTACAGTGTAAATTGTGTCTGTGTGTCACTGGGTGGCTGTCGTGCTTCCGTGTGTACATGTCTTGCTGGGTTACCTATGAGTGTTCTCACTCTGTAACCCTAGATAGGCCAATCCCACCACTGGTCCTACCTATGAGTGTTCTCACTCTGTAACCCTGGATAGGCCAATCCCACCACTGGTCCTACCTATGAGTGTTCTCACTCTGTAACCCTGGATAGGCCAATCCCACCACTGGTCCTACCAATGAGTGTTCTCGCTCTGTAACCCTAGATAGGCCAATCCCACCACTGGTCCTAGCCTTTTACAGGAGAGAATTCAAGGCCTTACAGGCATTCCAAAGCGTCTTCCTCTTCTGCCTTCTTAATTACTGTGCTCACAGTTATTGCCTTCATTAACTCAACATTTATAAATATTTAGCATGTGTCAGGCAAACTGCACTTTATAGATCATTATCTCCCCTAATGGCTAGATTTGGGCCGAGACTGACTTACACCCAGTCTGAGCAATGGAGGCTTTTATCTGATTAAGAGCCCACTGAGGCTTAAGTGTGAAAAGGACATGACAATTATAAAAGCCACTGACTGGCAGACTGACCAGTTACAAGGAGACCAAGCAGAAATTTCAGGGAGCAGGAGACCCTGCTGGCCTCTGGTTTTCTGTGATTATACCATTTACAGTCTTTTAGCTTTTTGAACATGTTTTGGTCTTTCCTTCCTCCTCATCTTAAAACTACAATGTTCTCCAAGACTCGATCCTAAGCCCCCTGATGCTTTCTTGCTATTACACCGTCTCACATAAATCTCTTTGTGCTACTTACTTCCAGGTAAGCACTTCTCAAACAAACAAAAACAGCCTAAGCTTCCCTCTAAAATGTAACTGCACACGTGTTCCTTGAGTTTGACATACTTGGGATGTTTGGATTATTTTGATTCCTTCCTTCCTCTACCCTATATGCAAGGGGGAAAATATCATATGCAGTTTCATTTTCTTTTTTTAAGAAAAGAATATTCAAACTCTCTCTGTGGCCTCCCACTGCAGCTGTTTCCAGTGCACGTCTGTTGCACACTGCACCTTCTGTATGCCTAGGAAGCTGCACTTGCCATACTCGGAGGCGCCATTTTTTTAAAGCCCTTACACACGGCTATGCCAGGTGCTTCAAACACCCGCTCAGTCACACACACATTTGAGTATTCTTTCCGCTTTGTCAATGGAACATAAATATTTAAGTCGTAATGTCAAAGTTACAGTCTGGTTCCCTGTTCAATTCCTAAACTATGTTTCTAACAATTCACCTCTTTAGGCCACAAAAATCAATGTGAACAAACACCTACTCCTTCAAAATCTACTTTTCCCTGTACATAATCTCTAGGGCACGGTCTTCTCACTGAGGAGGGAGGTGACTATCTTTGTGATCCGTACGACCCCTCCAGGCTTACCTTCCCCCATCGTCAGTGCTGCATGTCCCGCCTCTGTCTGCACACTCTACCTCTTCTCCCTGAGGTCCAGAGCACTGCCCATTGGTTTCCCCAGCTCCAGCATCACCCACTTCACACCTTCCCTTATTGCTGCCACTTGAGTCACCTTTCCACACGCCAACCTTAGCATGCAGTTTTCCTAATTCTTCAGTGACTTCTTGCGGGGACGGGAATTCATCTTAATATACAAAGGTATCATAATGTGGCATTCCTCTCTGCTATACCAATACCTCCATGCTATTATCATCACACATGAAATATAATTTATGTTTTTCTCAACCAAGACTGTAAATTCACATGACACACATGTTGCCTCACAACCGGTTTCTAGATGCCTTAATAAATGATCGCTCAGTAAACTTATGGATCATATGATTAATAAACAAATATTACCATAGTATGACACCTAAATGGCTCAGTGGATAAAGTGCTTGCCACACAAACATGAGGACCTGAGCTCACATCCCCAGTACGCAGGTTGAAGCATGTATGTGGAGACAGCAATAAGAGAATCCCCGGAAGCTGCGGGCTGTCTGGCCTCCAGGACATCTGCAGCAGAACTCCAGAGACCCTGCCTCAAACTGAAGGACAGAACCAAGCGTGCAGTTGTCATCTGCTCCTCACACACACAGAGGCGCTCAGCAAACGTTTACTGATGAACAGAAGAGCTGGTTGCTGTTCAGTGAGGACGGAAGAACCCAATGTTCTCCTTACTTTGTCTGCAAGGAACTGGCTGCGCCGCTCCTCGATGAGTTTCTCCACGGCCCGCTTGTGCTCCAGCTGCTTCATCCGTTGTTTCTGGGCATTCATGAGCTCTATCCGGTCGTCTTCAGCGAACTTAGCCAGCATGGCTTTTCTGAAGGTCTCCTCCTCCTCTTTTGCAGCCTGTAGTATTATTTCCTTCAGGGCCATTTGGTCTTCAAAGTCTTGCTTCATCTCCCTCTGCTTCCGCAGTTTCTGCTCTGCTTCTTCCTGCACAAGGATGGAGCGAGAGTTAAGCATTTCCTTGCACATTCAGGACAGGGCAATCTCAGCACACGGGGGGCCGAAGCAGGAGGATCAGGGCCTTGAAGCCAGCCTGGGCTGGTGAACTTGTCTCGGGAAACAAGATAAATGAGAAGGGCAGATTTGGGTTTGATACACATTACACTATGGCATCATATAAACAGAACTAAGCCTTTTCATGACAACACTCTGTCCCACTTAAGTCTATCTGAATAAAATGTCATGTTATTTTTACCTATATATATGTTCTATCATCTGTCTATTCAACTAGAACTGGCACAAATTTTAACTCATCTTTTCTAACCTGATCATTTTTGCCCAATCCCAGCACAAACCCTAGTCACCTAACATCCGTATGTTCAAAGCCTTACCGTCTGCACCCGCCACTGCACTCCATGTAACATGTGCCTTCCTACTCCCTTCTGAAAATAACAACACCACCCCCCAAAGACACACTTTCTTCTCTGGGCTCTGGGCACACGATGTTGATACTCAATGTTTTCACTTACTTGCCACATACTGCACAGACATCAAAGGCTCGGAGAAGACAGTGGAGTTTGTGATATTGAGTCTGGAATGTGTCTTGAGTTTATCACATCCCGTTACACATAGTAATGTGCTCCATCTAGTACTAGATCTAACACACACACACACATGATATTGGCAGTCTTGGGACTCTAACACCTATGCAAAATTTTATTTAATTCAACAGTGAAGACATCTTGAAAGAAAAAAAGAGGGAGGTGTTTGGCCACTGTTGTACTGTGAAAATGTCCACACACCCTCTGCTAGGTCTGTAATAAGGACTGTACTAGTTATCAGTATGAGTTGCCACACTTCCTGCTAAACCTTGTTACATGGACTTGAAAACCTTCGAATCATTTGTTGTACATAACTGGGCAGTGGTGGCACACACCTTTAATCTCAGCACCTGGGAGGCATAGGCAGGTGGATCTCTGAGTTTAAGGCCAGCATGGTCTACAAGCAAGTTCCAGGGCTACAAAGAGAAAACCAGGGAAAAAATCATTTGCTGCAGTCACTCTGACCCCAGCAACTTTAGCTTCTCTGCCAGAATCACAGCACTAAACAAGGACGCATGTGTAGAAACTGTATACTGTCTTATGGAGACAGTCCCAGGAAACAGAGTGTAGCAGGAAAGAAGAAAAGCCAACACAGGGCATCTAGGGAAGATGGTCACCCGTGGGCACGGAGGCCGTCCTCTCAGGACCTTCCCTGGCAGGGACAGAGGAGCGATCACTCATCAGTAAATGGCCACTTGGTGAGGGATGGTGACAACTCATCCCCACAGTGGAGAAGTGCCAGCATGGTCACTCTAAGCTCTTAAAAATGTGCCCCGCAGCTGTCCCTGAATGGCACCAACGTGATGAACTTCCGAGAATGCTGCCCCGGACAGCAGCTGAGCTCACGAGGCTCCACTCACATCATCCATTCAGAGCATTCTTGAGCACTCTCTGACACAGCCGAAGGCTCAGACAGCACCGTGGTTATGCACATCAGATGATGGACATGCAGGCTACCTTCGTGTGTTAGCTATCAGAAGTCCTGCTCTGAACATCTGTGTATAAACACGTGTGTATAAACACAAGATCATTGATTTGTACCTATCGCTTTCCAAGACTGTACTTAAAGATAATACTTTCCACTAACCTCTGCTGTGTCCCACGTGTTTTGCTACATCTTTAAAAGTTATTATCATTCAGTGGGAAGTATCTTTCCTTTGCTCATTGCTTTTCTACAAATACATGGCTTCATTACTGTATACGTTAGGACTAGACAGTCATTCTCATTACTAATTCTTCACTGGAGAGAGAAAACAGATTGGATATGACAAGATCTTGTGAGTGCACAGAGGTTTGCTTTGTGTCCGAGGAGCGGTTTGTTGGGTGGAGTCTTCTCTAGCGTGGGCTGGCCCAGCTGGATCGCGCTCCCATTAGGCAGTGGACTCTGCGGCTGAGGACTCGAGCATACCAATGGCAAAGGACTGCTGAGTCTCCTACTCTGGTTGAGCTATTTCTACTCCCCTCCCCCCCGCCGTCAGTTTTGTCTCGTGTATCATGAAGTTGGGCTGTTAAAATTCATGTGTCTTAGGGTTATCACAGTTACCTGGATAGATTTATTTTGATTAAAAACGTCCCTGCCCCGACGTTAACTCTGTCTCATATTAACACACACTCCAGCCTGCTAGCATTCACCAGTACTGAGTCTTCCTCCACACTGCCCTGAACTTCCTTCCATGTGCGCTCAGGTAAGCTGTGTGGACCGTCAACAACACAGCCGCATCGTGTTCTTCAGCATGCTCTGTGTTTACCAAGCTTGAGATCTTAGTCTTTTGACTGCAGTATCTAAGCTGCCTACCAACAATGCAGTCACTAACGTGGCTGCGTTTGACCACGCTATCCTCCTACGATTTCATCTCAGAATCCTCTCTCCAGTCACTCCCCTGGCCCTGAGACTCACCTTCAGTTTCTGCTTCAGGATCTCGGCCTGCTCCTCCTGGTACAGCTCTTGCCGTACCTGCTCCAGGTCCTCGCGCTGCCGCAGCATTTCCTCCAGTTTCTGGATCAGCTGGTAGGAAGACACGGTCAGAAGACATGAACTGGGCGACGGATTCAGGGGCTCAGGGCTCTTTAAAAAGCAGCCATTTCCATACCAGATTCTGGCGCTGGGCCCTCTTTTCCTCAGTCTCTTGAACTTTGGCCATCCGCTCGCCTTCTCTCTGCTGCTGTATGCTGGCAAACTCTATAATTTTCCTGTTCTCCTCCTCCATCTCCTCACGCTTCTTCTGTCTCCAGAGGGCTTGCTCCCGCTGGAACTCGTCAATGTACTTCTTAGTTGTGGTCAGTTTCTCTAATTTTTGCTGCCTTTCCCTAAAAAGCAATCGGGGGGACGGTTTTATAGTTACAGAAAGAAAATAACAACAACAACAAAAAATAGACTGCTTTGGAGTCACTAATGCAGCACACTTTCTGGGTATCAAGGGTGGACTTTCCACGAACTACCGGGCCTCTCTTCTAATGGTGCCATTTACAGCACCTCATTTCAGAAGGGTGACACTGCCCGCAGCGCCATGCAGCACTCTGCAGCTGTGTGCCATCAGAACACACGAGTGCTGACACAGAAGATGTACAGATCTAAGAAGAACAAAGGTTTAGGTCATTTACCCCTTACACACCTATTATTTTCAGATCATCTATTAATATTCATGCTGACAAAGATGAGGAAGAGCCATCCAACACACGGAACAGCCCGTGCTGGCCGAGGACTCACACTGGGCCAGGCACCTTTGGGGTGTACTTACAATTGGTCCTCCTCGTAGATCTTCCTGACGATTTCGTCAATCATGAGTTTCTCTTTCAGCAGCTGCTCATAGGCCTCCTCCTTCCTCCGCTCCTGCTCTCTGAGCTGCTTCTCCAGGTCCAGGTGGTACTGCGCCTTCTCCCTGTTCCGCCGGTCTTGCTTGACGCTCTCTTCCTTCAGGAGCCGCTCGTGCTCCTCCATCATGGTCCTGCCTATCTCGGCATCACGTTTCTAGCATGAAAACAGAACTGATCCTTCCACTTCCCGGAGTGAACACAGTTGATTACAGCACTATAATCAGACAGCTGCGCATGGGAAAGCCTGCTATGTAAATATTTTTGATCTATTAGGTTAAAAGCAAGAGTAAGTCTTTGCGACCTGGAGGCTGTGACTGACGAGTCAGGCCCTAAAGGAGTATTCTTAATCTTTCCAGAAGCTTAGGGCAACACCTGGCGAGGGTAATAAAGTCCACATTCAGAAAATAAAACATAAAATTCAAAGTATTTTATCAGTAACTAACTACTAAAGCAGCCAAACTACGGCTTCGTCTGTAAGCTGAGCATGCAGTGTCCGTTTCTAAGGCTGCTGTTTTCCCGCGGCTGCCGAGGACCCCTCCTGCCCACCTACCATTTGAGGGCTCTGCACAACTCTCCAGCTCCCCCAGCTGAAGCTCTTTCCTGCCACACAGCCTTCTATGTATTAAGGGTTAGTGTACTGATTTCAACTAAAAGGTCCCAACGTCACTGTGACTCTCCCTCTCTCGTTTTCATTCTCCTCCACACAGCGCTGCTCCCACTGAGTTACAGACGAGCCTCTCAGGAAGGTAAAGCCCTTGCTTTTCTTTAGCATTTCCAAACCACTTAACTAGTATGTTTAAACCTACTGGAGTAATGATTAAACTACCCTTTGTCTGTGTGACCCTTCACAGGGTCGCACATCAGACACCTGCATATGAGATACTTAGAGTTATGAATCTTAGCAATGAAATAATTTTAAATTAAGGGTCACAACAGTAGGAAGGCTGAGAACCACTGTTCTATGATCTTCTAGAGTAGCCTGTGACCATTCTTAGGAGTTCGCATGCTGTGCCACACTGGTTTAAACACTGTTATTACATTATAATCCTATGTGTATAAACATGTTTGCTGGTATACACAGTCCACATGTATAAACATACACTTTTATATGTAACTGTCTGGGTGATGCCATGCACCTACATTTTGATTGCTAACTCAGCAAACCTTATTTTCACACCAGGGCCGCTGGAGGATCCCCTGGACCTTGCTCTCCTGGGAGCAACCTGCCTTCAAGAATTAGACAAGGATGAAAACAGAAAACCAGGAAAAAGGGTTACTTTAGATAACAAGAGTTAAAACGGGGGATGGAAACAGGAGCCTGGAGAAGGGGGTGGGGGCTTCTACAGCAGGAAAGCTTCTGTACAGACCCACCACGCAGTAACACTCAAAACATACAACTGTGGAGAGCACAGTAGCCACATGTTAGGATACAGACAGTTGTACAGTGTTAGCTTGTCACAGCAAGTTCAAGAACAGTGAATGTGGGGGTCACCTGGGCCTGACAGCTCGGTGGAAATCACTCAGGGTCTGAATGTTTCTGTGGGGGGACCTGGCCGAGCAAGTTCTTTGCAGAGGCCCTGCTCTTGGAACTGGGCTGAGTACAGACCCGAAGCAGCTTTACCATTTGTTCGTATTTGATGGCGTCCCTCTCGGCAATCTGGGCAGCTCTCTCCTTATTCATGTAAGCGGCTTTCAATTTCTGTTCCAATTCTCTGAGTTCAATACTGTGGGGAAAATGCAGCTTTAAACTTGAGAACAATAAAAGAATTCAGCTTCACAGAAAATCTGGCGAATTCTTATTTACTCAGACTGTACAACTGGTATTTGAGGTTCACAGTTAACTCATTAGATTTAACGGATTACTCTTTCCTAACTTAATCTTCCTTTACATGTATTTATTTATTCTAATTTGTGGGGGTCCTTTCCTTCTACCCTAAGGATCTGAAATCAAACCCAGGCCTTCAAGCTAGGAAGCAAGTTAGTACTAAACTACCAGGCTACTACATTTTATTCTATCCTAGAGTAGTCTCTATCTTTGGTTGTCTTAGTAAAATCTTAGCAATTCTCTGGAAACTGTATCTCCTAAGTCTGGAGTAACAGTAAGACATGGCTGGCTTAAGTAATTCAATGCTAAGCAGCATTAAGAAATGCATTATAGGACGAGGAGTGTGGTACATGCCCTAGAACCCAGAACTGGGGAAGCAAAAGCAGGTGGAACTCTGTTTGAGGCTAGCGTGCTCTACGCAGGGAGTTCCAAGCCATTCAGGACAAACCAGTGAGACCCCATCTCAAACAAAAACAACAACAAAAGCCAAGTATTCTAGATTCCATAAGTCAGGACTTTTATACTTAGAACTCATTTTAACATTCATCCTTAAAGAAAAAGACCAAAGGAACTAATACTCAGATTTCCCTGTCAACACTAACACTCCTTTCTACTGCCGCAGCTGATTTTTCTCAGCTCTTTCTGTGGCTGAAGCCGTGATTCAGTGAGCACGTGTCGAGCACATGCAAGGCCCTGGCCTCAGTAGTCAGCACCGTAACAAACAGAGCAATTTAAATGAGCGTCTTAAGCTAACGCGGTGTTTCCAGGGACAACGTTAGCTGTAAGAGCGATGATCTAAGTAAAGAGTCTCACTTGCAGGGCTAAGGGTGGCAGCGCGCAGGGACGGACTACAAATGCAAGTAGCAGAAGCCACGCCACCTGTTCTCTCGCACTTGCTGCCTCATCTTCTCGTCCTTCAGACTCTCGTGCTTTAGGCGGGCCAGCTCGTTGGCAAGTCTCTCTTCCTGCTCCAGCTGTCGATCCTTCAACATCTTGTTCTCTTCTGCCTGAACAGGAAGTGCAGCGTTCGTTACCCACATCCCTGGCTCAGACTTCTCCCCGTCAAAGCTGCATGTGTCAGAACAGCAAACTAGCCACCCTGATGGCAACAGTCGACTGTGTATTTTAAAATAAAAAATATTTCAGCCTGGCGGTGGTGCTGCACGCTTTTAATCCCAGCACTTACAGATCTCTGTAAGTTCGAGGCCAGCCTGGTCTACAAGAGCTAGTTCCAGGACAGGCTCCAAAGCTACAGAGAAACCCTGTCTTGAAAAATAATAAATAAATAAATAAATAAATAAATACTATTTCAAAAAATAATATTTCAAATACCTTACCAGAGAATATTGTGAGGAATAGTAACACACCTATATCTTCATTCTTCTCAAAATTTATCAAGGTTTTACAATTTTTTCTCTACTCTTGTATTCCATTCCATTTTTCTTATTATCTTGCTATCTCTACTACAATATTTTAAGTTAAATTCCAGGGGGCTGGAGAGATGCTCCAAGATTAAAGGCACTGGCTGCTCTTGCAGAGGACCCAGGTTTGGCTCCCAGCACCCACGCGGTGGCTCACACCCTCTGTTCCAGAGGCTCTGACGCCCTTTTCTGGTTTCCTTGGCACCAGACAAGCACACAGTGCACAGATTCGCATACAAATAAATACAGCTTTAAAATAAAACATACCTTTGACCACTGCTGCCCACCAGGGAAACAGCGACATTGGATCTACCTGACAAGCAGTTCTTTTTATAACCACACCACAAATCAGCAGTATTTTCTCAGTGAGGTCAAACGTCTTACCTACATTCATTTCCCAACCATCTCAAAGATGTCTTTATCAAAACCAAACAAGGTCCACGCATTGTATCTAGCTGTCTTTCTCAAGTCTAGTCTATTTCACACATTGGTCACCCCCCACACACACACACACATACACATTTTTTATCCTCTAAACCATTGATGAGTGGCAATCACAGCCTGTCTAAGTCAGGGTTTCTGATGTTGGGATCAAGTACACAACCAAAAGCAACTCGGGAAAGAGAGGGTTTATTTAAGCTTACAGTCCCACATTATAGTCCATGATGGACAGGGACCATGAGGCAGGAGCTGATGCAGAGGACGAGAAAGGATGCTTCTTAGTGGCTTGTACCTCATGGCTTGTTTAGTCTGCTTTCTCACAGAATCCAGGACCACCAGTGGTCTATGTCATGAGCTGGGCCCACCCACAGCAACCATCAACCAAGAAAATGATCACAAGCTTGTCCACGGGTCAGTCTGGGTCACGTTCTCAACTGGGGTTCCCTCTTCCTAAATGATGCTAGCTTGTGTCAAACTGACATAACGCTATCCTATTGTATCCCCGTGTTCTCTGGTTGCTCTCTCAGAGGTTACCTGAACTACCTTCTCTTACACTTTCTGTGAAATGGTGGGCAGACATAGAGACTTCATTTCTTCCTGAAATGAAGCACATAGCAGCGCAGGCCTGTAACCTAGAATCAGGAGGCCGAGGCAAGAAAACCACCAGACATCCAAGCATAGCTTGGTTCTTATTCTGAGTTCCAAGGCAGAGCTACATATTGAGACTGTCTCAAAAGTAAGTAAACAAATAAAACAAAAATAACGCATGAACAATATTCAACATCGTTAGCATCAAAAAATGCAGATCAGGAACTGGAGAGATGGACCCGAGTTTGGCTCCCAGCACCCACAGCACGTGGTTCACCACTACCTGTCACTCCAGATCCAAGGGATGCAATGCCTCTGGTCTCTGAGGGCACCTGCGTTCCCATGAACATAGCCACAATGTAATCTACACAATTAAAAATAAGAAATCTTATAAAGCAAATTAAAATTACACCAGGACATCACACCATACAGACTGGAATGTCCATTTAATACACAGACACATCAGGCTTATCCAATAAAAAGATAGGCAGATAATTAGAATTTGAATTTCAGATTAAAAGAACAAAATTTAGGGACTGGAGAGATGGCTCAGTGGTTAAGAGCATTGCCTGCTCTTCCAAAGGTCATGAGTTCAATTCCCGGAAACCACATGGTGGCTCACAACCATCTGTAATGAGGTCTGCTGCCCTCTTCTGGTCTGCAGACATACACACAGACAGAATATTGTATACTGTATACATAATAAATAAATAAATATTTTAAAAAAAAGAACAAAATTTAGACGAATTACTTCTTTGCAATGTTTCCCGTGTATAGTAGACTATGTATCTAAGAATATGTAACTACGAGGTACATACTTAAGCATTATTTGTTAGTTACCTGATATTCAATTTTAACTCCTAATCTTGTGTTCTAATTTGTTTTGGCATCCTTACCCCACTCCGAAGGGTGTGTTGATCTGACCAGAGCACAGCATACTCCACAGGAATATGTAATCTAACCCAATTTTAGAAATTATCATCCTTCTAGCTCTTCCCCTCTCCTTGGTTACATGGGGATGGGCATTCCCTTCTGTATGCTGTGAATATGTTTTATTGCCATTGATTCATAAAGAATCTGCTTTGGGCCTTTGGAAGGGCAGAATAGAGCAAGGTGAGAATTCCAAGCAGAAATAGAGGAGAAAAGGTGGAGTCAGGGAGACACTGTGTATCTGCCTGCCGAGGGAGATGTACACAGGGAACCTTACTGCTAAACCATGAGCCTTGTGGTAAAATATAAAATAATAGGAACAGGTTAATTTAAGATATAAGAGTTAGCTAAAAGGACACCTAAGCTATTGGCCAAGCAGTGTTGCAATTAATATGTTAAAAAACAAAAACACAGACACATTTAAAAAAAAAAAACAGTGCATATACCAAATAGTGGTAGGTAGTTTTCAGGAGAAGAAAACACGTTTATTTAAAAACCTATATTTAATATAGCACAATAAATAAAATAAAAAAACAAAAAGATTTAAAATTTTTTTTTTTAAAAAATCTGTATTTAAGTCAGGCAGTGGTGGCACACACTTTTAATCCCAGAACTCAGAGAGGTGCAGGCAGATGGATTTCTGTGAGCTCAAGGCCACCCTGGTCTACAGAGTGAGTTCCAGGACAGCCAGGGCTGTTATACAGAGAAATCCTGCCTTGGAAAACCAAAAACCAAACAAACAAACAGACAAAAAACTGTATTTAAATATTTATAGCAAATTTATTCCTAATATCCAGTATTGGAAATTCCTCACCAGGTGAAGGGTCCAAGCACACTGTGGTACATCCACACTAAGGAATACTACTTGGCAATAGAAACAAAACAAGCCATAAAAATAAAAAATAAAATGCGCATAAAAACACAAATTAAAAAAATCTTAAGGAAGACAGGATCCCAAACAAAAACACGTAATTGACACTATCTCTTGATTCCACGAATCAAAAGGGCATTTAGGTTGACAATCTGCTGGATTTGATTAATCAGAAGGGAATGTGTCTTGAATGAGGCCAACCTAGTCAGTAGCCCTAACCATGACCAGAAGCAGCTGGGCTCTAGGGAAGCAAACTCTACCTTGACTCCGGGGGAGAAAGCATCCCAGCCAGCACCTGGGTCAGCCCGAGAGCTCGTGGGGAATCCAGCACGCCTGTGTTCGTGACTCAGTGTGGTAAACACCAGTTGTTTCAAGCTAATTTTGCAAGAATCAACTACACCATGGAAAGGCACACTCTGAACTGCACTCCTCAGAGTCAGCAAGGAACTCTCCAGTCTGAAAGAGACGCAGGAGACATGACACTGCCCGTAACTTGTGATCTTAGCCTAGAAGAAGAAAACTGTACATCTGAGTAAACCCTGTAGTTCAGTAATAGAATGTTAGGAAGGCTAATTTCTCGGTGGTGATAATTTTACGGCTTTTCATCTTCTATGTAAGACACTGGCATAAGAAGGCAGGAGAGAAATTTATGAATTCTCTATACAATTTTGAACTCTTTGATCAATCCAATCTTGCCTCAAAGTAGAAAGCGATAAAATGCATATTTCCCACATCTGTTCACCAAATAGTCCTAGAGGGAATGATAATCCGGGAAGGATGACCACTCCCACCTTGGCACAACAGCTAATTCCAGGTGCGGCACAGGACATTAACAGATGAGTCCTGTGCCGGCAGGCTGCTCCAGAGTCAGCAAGCCCAGAAGCCGGAGCGTGAGTCAACAAGCTTAAGAGCTAACTGTAGCATCTTACTCCGAGTCTTATGTTGAAGAATCAGCACATGAAATACTGTACTTCACGTTCAAGCTAATGCCAGTGAACTTAAGACACAGGAAGAGCTGATGTGACAACCAGAGTCCAAGGCAAAAAAAAACAAAAACAAAAAACAAATCAAAAGCCCCAAAGCAGATGCCTCAGCTTGAAGGTGGCTAGCAGACAGAATTAGTTCTTTCGGCAACTAACTGCCTCTGCGCTCTAGTCAAGCCTTCAACTGACAGGATAAGATGCTCTCTTTGGGCAAACCGCTTACTCAACCTACTGATTCAAATGTTACTTTATCTAGAAACACCCAGAATAAGGTCGGCTGAGGGTCCAGTCAACCAATAAATAAAATCAACCATTGTAAGCTATTTGTTTTCTGTCAGAAAGCAAGAAAGATACCAAAGATCAAATGTGTTTTGTCAAAAGAACACAGAGGCAACATAAAAGAGCACCATCTAGCCAAGGACAGGATACTCTAAGGGTCCAAAGATACAAGAGGCTAAGAAGACGGCTCAGTGGGTAGGGGCTTGCGGCCAAGACTAAGGCTTGTAAGTTCAATCCCCAGGACCCACAGGATAGGAGACGTGATTCCTGTAAATGGTCTTCTGACCTCAAGATACACACCTCAGCACACTTGTTCACTCTTCCCCTCCTCCTCTACACACAGAGAGAAGACAGAGGGGGAGAGAGAGGGAAGGAGAGAGGGAGGGAGAAAGGGAGAGAGAGATAGGAGGAGAGGGAGAGAGAAATGAAGAGAGAGATAGGAGACGGAGAGAGAAATGAAGGGAGAGAGAGAAAGAGAGATAGGAGGAGAGGGAGAGAGAAAGAAAAATTTAAATATTTCCTTAAAGTGAATAACAGAGGCTGGGCTGTAGCTCAGTGACAGAGTGCTTGCCTTGCATACACGAGGTCCTAGGTTCAATCCCAAATAATGCCAGGGGGGAAAAACACTAACTGTGATTAAACATGTACAAAGACTCCCGACGTCGTAACGATATGAACATGAGTTTTTAGAAAAGACTTCTTTTCATGTAAATCAGTGTTATGCCTGCATGTGTGTATATGCACCATGTGTGTACCTGGTGCCCACAGAGACCAGAAAAGGGTGCTGTATCCCTGGAATGGGAGATATAGGCAGTTATGAACTGTCACATGGGTGCTGAGAATCGAACCTGGGCACTCTGTAGCAGTAACAAGTGCTCTTAACTGATGAGCCATCTCTCCAGTCCCATAAAAATATATTTTTAAAGAAAAACCAAAAAAATCAAGAGAAGAAAACTTTAAAATAACCACAATGTGTGCAGAAACAAATTCATGAAAAAGTAACTATTTTCTCCACAGCATCCTAAGTCTTCCTGGAGACCTTTCTTTACAGAACACAGAAAAGATGAAGGCACACACCAAAGGAAGCAGAGACAGATCTAAAATGTACAGTCAACAGGCCTCATGTCTCCACTAGGTTAGAAACATGAAGCCACCGAAGGATGGAGGAAGAGCTGTCTGTACTAACAGAGCCTAGGTATCAAAACTATAACCGCTGCATGAACCTGACCTGGTCCTGATGAGAAGCCAACCCTAAAGGCAGAATTTGACACAGTACTGGAATTTGTCTAAAGGGTGAGAGGACAACACTATGACAGATGCGAAACGGCAGAGTGGGGTGTGGGGGGGTTTTCCTTACAGAAAAGATGGAATGTCCAGGGTCTGCCCGCTCAGAGCTGAAGGACCGGGTCTAAGTCGCTGGGACTTGGGCCGGAAGGAAGCCAGCACCCTTAGGCCCTCTTGCTATGTCCTGACCCACCCTCAAAACACTGGACACACAGTGCGCTGGTGCGCAAAATTTAGCAAAAGACGAGGACACTCTGTTCGCGCTTATGAGAAATCACCTACCACTTCCCGTCTGTTTCCTCTACTACAATCTCCTAAAAATATTTAGAAATGCCCATGATTGATTTAGCCAGTACATCAGAACGTAAACACATGCATATGGTGCCTGAATTCTTCAAAAATTAAAAATGTGAGTATATGTATATCTCATACACGTTCATCCCCCACTGCTTAATAATGTCCATGCTTAATGTTGGGAATTTTTAAAAAGAAATCCTTAAAGATTTTTTATTAGAAACATATAGAAAGCAACACAGTTGTACTCACATAAAAACCTGTGACGTTAGCAATTGTGGACTTCATTTATGCTTAATATCAAGAATGCTTATTCTTATCACAGACTGTTCCAAAGGTTTCACATTTGCTTATTATTAAAGCGATCCTAGGAAGGGCGTACCATATCAGATTTTATAGATAAAGCATAAAAAGGGACGAACCGACCCCCAAATTCTTCAGCTGAATCAACCCGTACTCGGAAGGATTCGGTCACTTCCCAGCTTCCTGTTTTCTCAACTTCAGAACTGGCAGTCATCTTCCAAATTTTCCATGTGAAGAAAATTAACAACGAACACTGAAACTTACTTTTTGGATGGCTTCTTCCATGTCTAGCTCAAACTGCTCATTCTGCAGCACCCTGAGGAATCTCTTCCGTTCGACCCTCTCGTCGTTTTCATTTTGCACGATCTGGTTCCTGGCTTGCCTCTCTAACTTATTCAAGATTTGGATATGCAACGATTTGCGGAAGTTTTCATCCACTAACTTCTGGTGTCTTTCACTAAAGCTCAAAATTCTTCTGGAGGCCTACGATGCAGGGGGAGGGAAATACACATAATTCAATATTCCACGATCCATTTTTCCAAAAGATACTGCTGAAAATCCCTATAACAAACGATGTGAAAATAGGCAACAGGCTGAAGGGTCTTTGGCCCCCTTCCTGAATTCATAGTATTCCAGATGAAAGTTCAGATGTGATAGGGTAAAATGATGACGCACTGATTAAATGGGTACTAATAACATTCCCTGTTTTGTAGAGGAAGCGGGAAAAGTTGAAGTAATTTAACTCAAAACTCAACAGTACCAATGAGAGCGAAGGTCTCCAACTGCAGCTTTACCACCAGAGAGCCGCTCCCCCAAAAAGCAGATTTAAAGTTATATCTATCTCGGTGAGAAGGGGGGGGGGGGGGGGGGGGGAGTGCAGAAAAGCCTTACAGGTCTCTCAGAAAACAACCCGGAACCTTCTAGAAAGCAATCAAAGTTTCTCACTGACCTCTCGGATTACACACTTCAAATTATATTTCAGAGGTAGTGAGCTCTAGACTGTATACGCATGCAGTGTGAAGGTCCCCGATCCCTGCCCCGGCCTCCGAGCTGCTCACCATCCTGGCTGACTTTAAACCTCCTCGGGTTGGGTGAGTCTCTAGGCCTGCTCTTCCCGAGCAGCAGCTGCCTCCGCCTCACCACCAAGCTCGGATGTTTACGCAGTGTCCCGGCAACCGCCAAAGGCGCCGCCCACCCGAGCGCAATACAGCCTCCTATTGGCTGTCACGACATCCAATCAGCTCTAGGAATCTTCGTTGCCAGGCAGCAGCGCGCCTTCCACAGGACCAAACCAGAAGGCGCGAAGTTCGGATGCTGCACCTCGCAGGAGCCGTTTACATTCCATGGGAGCTGATCTCCGCGGGCTGGAGCCCAGCTGAAACCTCAAGAGACACCACCACCAACAACAACAAAATACCTCGGAATTCTCACTGCGATGGACTAAGGGCGTGCCCTCCCTAGAGCGACCCCAGGCGGTAGCGAGCTACCCAACTGTGGGTGCTGTTCGGCAAGGATCTTTTTAGGAGGTGTGGCCTTTCTGGAAGAGGTGTGTCATTGGGGTGTGACTATCCCCAGAATGCTCACTCTTTCTCCTGCTTATGGATCTTGATGTGAGCCCTAAGCCTTTCTTGCCTCTATGCCCCCTCTTCACAAGCATGGACTCTAGCCCTCTAGTACTATAGGTCAAATTAAATGCGCGCTCTCTCTCTGTCTCTCTCTCTCTCTGTCTCTCTCTCTCTGTCTCTCTCTCTCTTTGTCTCTCTCTCTCTCTGTCTCTGTCTCTCTCTCTCTGTCTCTCTCTCTGTCTCTCTCTCTCTGTCTCTGTCTCTCTCTGTCTCTCTCTCTGTCTCTCTCTCTCTGTCTCTCTCTCTCTGTCTCTCTCTCTCTCTCTCTCTCTCTCTCTCTCTCTCCCTGTTTTTATGAGACAGGGTTTCTCTACATAGCCCTGACTGTCCTGGAACTCTCTATGTAGACCAGGTTGTCCTTGAACTCAGAGATCCACTTGCCTCTGCCTCCCGAGTGCTTGAATTAAAGGCAAGTGCCACCACTGCCTGGCAATACCTTTTCTTGTAAGTTACCTTGATTAGAGTGTTTTATCATTGCAATAAAAAAGTTATTAAGACACTCAGTGATCAACTAATAAGCCTGACTATTTTTAAACAAATGAGTGTTAAACACAACCTACCAAAATCTATACGAGAGGTAGCTAAAGTTTAGAGAAAAATCAATAATATTTGTTCTTAAAATAAATGTTTTCAAATATTTAAGCCTTTACATTAAGGAACTGTAAAAAAAAAACTACACCAAAAGCAAACAGAAGGAAGGAAATACTGAAGATAAAGGAGAAATCAGAATTAAAATAGAAAAATGAAACAAAAAGCATGTCTTCAGAAAATAGAGATAAAATTGCTATCAATTTTATAATTTTCACTGGGCTAGTAAAGACCACTACCTCTGAAACGTGATTTCAAGGGAGTACTGTCTCTACATGCAAAATAGTAATATGACCTCAACCATCTGTTCACTGATAAGTTCTGGGAACTGATTTAACTGCCTGGAATAGTTAAGGTTGAAGAGATAGTTTGCTGGTGACAGGTCAGTGAACACAGTTTAATTAGAAGCTGCTTTTTGAGAATCTGCACAAGCCAAAGCCATGAGAAACAAAACGAAGAAAGCAGGGGCATTGTACGCCTGGCTTCCATGACATACTGAAAAGCTTCTGTAATCAAATCACCTGGAACTGTCATTCAGCACGGCTTTATGGACCAATGCAACAGAATAGAGAGCCTGAAGGAAACCCACCATCTGCAGGCCACTGCTGCTCAACATGAGAGCCCCCCAAATCCACTACGTGAAGGGCAGTCTTTTCAGTAGGGGTGCTCGGGAAACCAGGTGTCCATGTGTAGAGGAACATGCCTAGACATTTCTAACAACAAAGACATACGAGGCCACCATGGAAACATATCTGTCCCAACATCTCTAATGATTAATGACCTGGGACATCCAAGTCAAACGTGAGGTCACTTCACAGCAGCAGGAATGGTTTTCAAAAAGACTAAAGCTGATCAACATTGCTGAGAGCACAGAGAAAGGGCAGCGTTTGTACACTCTGGATGGCAATGTGAATTAGTATGGCCACTATAGAATACAGTATTGAGGTTCCCCCAGAGTTAAAAGTAGAACTGCTGTCTGATCTAGCAATATCCCTAGTAGGTATATATCTAAAGAAAATGGAATCAGTATGCTGAAGAGGCCGCCGAACTCACACATCGTGGTAACACCCTCTGTCCGTCAACTGAGAGATGGACAAAGTCACAGAAAAGAACAAAGCCTTGTCATTTATGACAGTGTGGATGGAACTGGAGATGTCTGCTGAAATAATCTAGGTGCTAGACACAGACATTGCATGACTGGAATGGACCTGGAGAGATGGCTAAGTGGTTTGGAGCCCCTCCTGCTCTTGCAGAGGACCTGGGTTTGGTTCCCAGCACCCACACGGCAGCTCCAGTAATCAATTCTAATTCCAGTCCCAGGAGAGCTGATACCACCCTCTGGTCTCTGTGGACATCAGGCATACAAGTGGTGCACATGCAAGGAAAGCACCCATGCACATAAAATAAAACCAACTCTCAAAAAATTCTTAACAAGACAAAAAGAAGACGGTGTATGATTGTGTGAACGTGAGAGACACAGTTTCTCAGTAGCTTTGGAGCCTGTCCTGGAACTAGCTCTTGCAGACCAGGCTGGCCGCAAACTCACACAGATCCACCTGCTTCTGCCTCCCGAGTGCTGGGATTAGAGGCGTGCGCCACCACTGCCCAGCTCAGTTTCCTTCCTTTAATCTTTGACAAAGAACATGTATTACAATTTTTTTAAAACAATCTTATTTTACATACCAATCCAGTTCCCTCTCTCTTCTGTCCTTCCAGTCCCCCTGTATTACAACTTTTAAAAAAAAACTATTTATTTGTCTTTATTTTATGTGTATGTGTTTGCCTGGCTGTATGTATGCATACCAGGTGCATGCAGTGTCCACAGGGGCCAGTAGAGGGCATCAGATTCCTCCTAGAACTGTAATTACAGGTGGCTGTGAGCCAGCATGTGGGTGCTAGGAATGGAACCTGGGTGCTCTTAACCATGGACCTATTTCTCCAGCTCCTGCACTACAACTTTGACTCTCAATTTTGTTTTCCCAAAGATCCCCTCGTGTTTTCCTACTAATTTGGTACCTCTCAGGGTTATGCCATTTACAAACTGGACAAGCATTCATTTACATTTTCACCTGTCCTTTTTGTTTGAGACAGGTTTTCTCTGTAGCTTTGGAGCCTGTCCTGGAACTAGCTCTTGTAGACTAGGCTGGCCTCGAACTCAAAGAGATCCGCCTGCCTCTGCCTCCCGAGTGCTGGGGTTTTACAGGCCTGCACCACCACCGCCCGGCTTCCATTTTCACCTGTCTTATAGCAAAAGGCAGACTAGATCTGGAAGAACACAGCTCTGACCTACATCAAGGGGCATCTCTCCCAACAGAAGGAGGCCAGCAGCCTTTGAGACTGCCCAGCCAGTGGGTGCTTTGACTTCAACAGTGTGCTTCTAGGGTGTCTATACGATTTTACTAGGAAAATGTTCTAAAAAGGCTTCTCCAAAGCCCAGGTAAGCCATGCTTTCTTAATTCCCTTTATCTAACAAGACTCAATTGATTTCTCAACAACCAAATGATCTGCCATTCTGGCTGTGTGTGGTGGAATCGCCACTGTTCCCTTGAATGTCCACAGACCAATATAAATGTCTTTTTTAAAAATAGACACTGAGGGAAAGGACTGCAAAGGAGAGTGGGGGATCAAAGAAAAATTTTTAAAAATTTAAAAATTGACATTGTATAAATCTTGTCACCACATACTTAAGGGAAATACAGTGCCGTGTATTGCTAACTCGAACAAAGAGATGTATGAATGGTACTCATGCGTTAGTTTGGCCAGGAAATAGTTTTAACTTAGAGACCAGATCATTAATCAAATGTACACAGTATTTCACTCATCAATACACAGATATCAGCTTAGTCAGGCAATTAAATATATCCATAACATTCATCCCCTTTGTAAAAATACATAGCTAATATTTTAGAATATTATCCACAATAGTCAATAGTTCGACTGCATTGCTAATTGTCTGAATTTATCAAAACATGCTCCTCACAGAGCCTTAGGCATAAAATATCTTGACAAATGTAGTTGAAAGATTGATTAGCTATACATTTAAGACAGGGTAATCTGCGTGTTAGGACGATCAGAGGTATAAATTCAGAAGAAGAGCCTGTGTGGGAGGAAGGAACGGCGTTGTGTGCAGACAGGGTTATGGAACTGGAGAGCCAGGAGAGCTTTTACAGAGCTGACCTACAGAGGGCATTTACAAACACAGAGAGAAAAGCCAGAAGGCCAGTAGGGTCTGACCAAGTGGCGGTCTGAGTGCTCACACGGGTAGCAGCAAATGAGACAACGGCCTCACATGAGCAAAGCTGAGCCCCTGGAGAAGGCCACACGTGAGGACTTGAGCTGAAGCTCTTGAACCCATGTAAAAGCCAAATGCATTGAGGGAACATCTGGAATCCAGCACTCCTATGGGGAGACGGGGCGGAGCCAGGAGAATCCCTAAAGTTCATGGGTCAACTGGCCTGGTGCACACAGTAAAGACACATAAAAGGGTCTCAAACAAGGTGGAAGGCAAGGACTGACACCTGAGGTTGTCCTCTGACCTCCACCCGTGCCCTTGTGCCCACACAGCACACAAATACACACACACACACACACACACACCATGTATGCGAAAGAAGAAAGCACTAAAGGTGAGCCCATAGGCAATTGGGAGAGCACATGAATGCACTCAAGAAACAGCCTTTGGGGTTGGGGATGCACGAAATATTAAGCCAAGAATGAGAGGAAAAGGCCATAAACAGTGAACAAAGCTAAGCCCGAGCTTTCAAACAAGGTCGAGAGCTGCAAGTCTCTGGTATCTTATACCTCTGTTCTGAACCCGCTGTTCACGCTCTGTGAAAGGGTGCAGGGTAGGGTCAGGTACACAGCCTGCTGCGTCCTTCTCCCCAAAGGGTCAGAGTCTCTATAGTGATGAGCCCAGG